GCATTTATATGAATCAGAATAGAGTACCAAGTAGTATTTAGAAATCCCAAGAGGTAAACAGACTGTTTTGTACTTGGTCAAATTTACACAATCCAATTTAAGAACATAGCAAGTAAACCATGATCAGATGGATCTCACATGACTTGGATTCAAGTTAGTTTACTTAATGGGATTTTAGACTTTTACACTTTCTTACAAACCATGCCTTTTATTAATTTCTCTTTATTATTCCATTACCTTAGAGCCAGCATAACAAACACACGAAGGTCCTGAATATGGTTAATCAGGACCATAGTCCTTAGTCCTATGGTGCCAATTGCCTTAGAATTATTGGTGTTTTCACAGAAGGAGAATTCAAGGAGCTCTAATGTGTCTGTTAAATGGGATAAACTACCATTTGTATGTATGTGACTTTGAGATGACAGAGAAGTGTGTGTGTGTGTGTGTGTGTGTGTGTGTGTATGTGTGTGTGTGTGTGTGTGAGTGTGAGTGTGTGTGTTAATAGAGGTCATTTCACTAATACTAACTCTAAGAGTGTAATTTTCATAAAAATTCTAGTTATGTTTACATTGGAGTTTTATCCTAATTGTTTTAGAATAATTTCTATAAGTTCATTAGATTATTAAAGATATTTTTTAGAGATCCTTCTACTGCCTTTACTGGCTGAGTAACTTAAGCAATATCATACATTTGGTCACATGAAAGGGCCCAGAAGCCAGAGTTTTTTATTTCTAGGTTGTTGGTGTCTTTAGTCATTACTTAGGTGCTGCTAGTGAGAATGTAAGCATACTCCAAGACAGGGCACACATTTCCCTTGCTACTAACCTATGTATTTATATCAGAATTTACAAAATAGTCTCATTCAATTCTTACAAAAGCCCTGTGAGATTAAGGCAGGGAATAGGTACTATTCCCATTTTACATGAAGTGTGATTTTTGGAATGTTGTATAGACTATAAATAGGATCACCATATGTTATGTTTTTGTCTGGGACAACCCCAAGTTGTGTTGTCCTCATGTAATTATTAGCATCAACTTTCTCTCAATATTATCTATTTGGATGGCAGATTCTATGGTCCCTACCAATCTATAAATCACATTTCACTTGTATTAGGCTTTCAAAATTCATGTAGTCTGTGCAAGGCAATGTGATTGCTCATGATCATAAGAGACAATCAGAGCTACAACCTGGTTAAGGGCCTGGCCTGCAAACCCAAGATACAACTCTGCTAATTGTACACCCTTAGGCTAATTACTGTCACCTAGTAAGTGCCATGTAATCATTTCCTGTGTTTGCTGCTTGATCACTAGCTTCTTCTCATTGGCATCTCCTTATTGTTCAGCTAGAAGTCTTTCTCTGATACTCCCAGATGCCCAAACATCTCTTGTCCTTTTTGATGAGGAGTCCAGCCCTTTTCACTCCTTCTCGAATGACGTATGCCATTCCCCTCATAAACCAGCAGTGACCTCAGTGTCTGTGGTTGGTTGACGCTCGTTTGTCCCTGTGCTGACCTTAGAGTGATAGAGTCTGACAGCCTGGCTACTGTTCACAAATATCTGGACTCTTGGCAAGGCAAGGTTCCAGCCTAAGTGTCAGATTGATATTGGTATCAAGCATGCATGCGTTTACTTCCAAGTTGGACACTTCAAGTAAAGAAAAAAGAAATTCCAAAATTCCAAGGTGTTTCAGATGACAAAAGTGCCTGGAAGAGAGTTGCCAATGGTCTCACTCACGTACATTTAAATTATATCGCACTACCAGGTAGTCTTGAAGGTGCAATTTGAAGATTCATCAGGAGCCTTGGAGCTTTAAATTACTCCAAGCCTCTGGGGGTATGCATGGCAAGAAGAATAAATAGTGCTATAGAAAAAGGTCTCTAACACTAGAACTAGATGAGGTCTGCTCTTGGCTTTGTTCTTTACCAGAGTGGGACATAGAAGAAGTCTCTTAGTTTTCCTAAACTCCATTTTTTTTTTCAATCTGTAGGATGGAGCTGTAAAGTAATATTTATGTTTACCTCTTAGGATAGTTGTGATAAATGAATGAAATAATGAATATAATATTTAGGATAATCCAGGAACAAAGGTGTTCATTGAATTTTTGTGTAATGTATTGTAGGGATTATGGGGATTGTTTTATTCTACTTTATGATTCTACTGCTATATCTGAAGGATGCATTAAGGAATACTGGATCAAATGGTTTTAATTAATCTTCTGGACTGGCTTATACTGTGGTACTAACTCCTTCTACCAGGAGGTAGTGACTCAAACTCTAGGTGTCACTTGCAGAGAGAACTTGTAAGTCGTCTGCTGAAGTGCATGCCATGCTTTATCTTTAGGCTTCCTGCTGCCTGGCTTTAAGCTGTGGAGTCCCTTGGGCCACACAAAGACCTTGGAGATAGGAAGAAGCAACTACAGTTAGGGAAAGACAGACTGCATTTCACAACATTTATTCAATGCCCTTTAAGTTGACAAATTTCTCACCCAGGGAGCTCTCTGTGAGTCTGGCTGGGCCACATAATAGGGGCAGTGTGGGATGACCATGCAGGAGAAGATGAAAATAAACAGGAGGATGTGTGTCTTAGAGGAAGAAATATATTCTTGACAGATTAGGTAGGAGGCATGAGGTACACAGAAAGCCACAAATTACCAGTGATGGAACTGTGAGCAATTAACTACCGCATAAGGTAATGGCACTCTGATAAAGACATTTCAAATGAAGAAGCATGTTTTGCTTCACATAGAATATTCTACTGTTAGATTTCCTTTCTTTTTTTGCTCTCCCTGTGAAACGGAGCAAGTTTCCATCAGATACATCTCATGAGAAGGAGGCTTTGATTGGCATGGCTGTATCCAGGCGGCTCCTCCTTCAATGGTAACAGGCTGGAAATACTTCAAGAGATAGTTTGCTTTACTCTAACAGAAAGGGTGGCTGCAATATCAGAAAAGATAAATATTTTACTTCTACCTCCTTTTGAACTATTACCAACCAACCGTGACAATTTGATAAACTGTAATTAACACATTCATGGATTAAAGTTTTATTTTATTGTGTATCTTTCATAGTCTCACCACGTCAAATGCAATTCCCACCCTTTCTTTGCCATACTTGGTGAGAATTAATCATCAGTTCTGGATGACTATGGGGGAGTTAGAGGCAGATTCGGTGAGGAAATGGACCCAGTTCGATAAAATGCACTAGGAAAAATGGACAACCTAAGGAGCAGCTCAGACATTACTGTCTTTTTAGTTCCATAGTATATTTAATTATCTTTAATAATATTCTTTAATTAAAAACTATATAGCTTTTTGAGGGCAGCAGGGGAGAAGAAAGTAGGAGAGGGACTGTCACTGTGATCTAAACAGTGGTAAGAGATGACAGAACTGTCACACAGGATAGAGTTTTATCATATAATATGAACAAGGTGAGGGCAGAACAACCGACCAAGAATATTTTAACCCTCATGGCTTGGCACAAAGAAGGAACTTACTGAATGTTTTGGATGACTTTATAATGCAAGCAATTGCTGGTTTGGCTTCTTACAAGTGCAATCTTGCACCCAAAGTTACTTACAGGTTAAGAATGCAGGACTACCAGAATGCAGTGAAAATTTTAAAATCCTGTCCTTTAAACAACAACAACAACAACAACAACAAATACTTGATAGTTTCTCAAACAGAATCTCTCCTAGATGCTTGCAGGGCAATGCTCCTCTCCCAAATGGGCCTGGCCTGCTTTCTGCTCCTCTTTGCAAAGCACTGGGAGGAGACAGGGAAGCCAAAGGGTTGAGAAGTCAGTGAGAGGAAGGTTACACTGAACCTTCCAAATGACACTTGTTCATCCATCATCCTAAGGAGTAGCCCTGAAGGCAGGCAAACACAGGGCTGAGAAACACTGGCTGTACCTTGAGGGATCAAGACTCAGGACAAGCGTGGCAGCAGGAGGCAAGGGGGTGTCAGAGCTCAGAATAAGAGGGAAGAAATCTCTTCCTCAAAGGTACTCTGTACTCCAGTGACCCTGCCATTAAGGTGAGTAAAATTTCCGTGTTAAAATCACTTATGCATTCTACAGTAGTAAAATTAAGAGGATCCAGAAATCTAGATATACTAGCAGAAGGAAATGATTTGGGCAGATTATGATGAGGAACAGCCAAGGGGTGTGGCTATATTATACAGGAAAGCCTGTGAATAGAGCCTGTGAGATCTTATGGTCAAGTACTGACATCATCTTAGTTTTCACTTAAATTATTTAGATTTTTAAAAGATATATATATTAGTTAAAACTATATATATAGTTTTAAATAATATGTAATAAAACAGGGTTATTCACTTGGAAATTGATTTTTTAATCAAACTACAATAAAAAGTTTAGGTACAGATGTATAAGATTAGTTCTTTAAATGATACATTAAAATCATGGCCAATTATGGTCCCTGACATTAGCAAGAGAAGTTCAAAGAAAGTGCAACCACATGGAAAGGAATTGGCCTCTCATGCATCGGGCACAGCAGGCCTTTCTGGAGGGTAATCTGGCAACATGTGCTACAAATCTCAACCTTATACTGGCCTCCAACTCAGCATTCCTCTATTTATAATCTTACGCCAAGTAAGTAACCAATAAAGCATGTGAGAAGATTTGTCTATAAGAATAGTTCATTTCAGAAATTATTTATAATGGCAAGAATGTGTGAACAAACACATGTCAGTGGCAGGGAAGTGGGTTAGTGAGCCTGTAGTGATGGGACACCAGGCAGCCATTACAAGTGAGGCTGTATTTAGTGTCCTAAGAATATATTCATGAGAAAGTGGTGCACAAAACCAGCAGCTTACAAATGAGCATTTTCAAACATGATATGATCACCTAAAAATATATAGGGTGCCTTAAGAGGACCTGAAAGAATCTATCCCAGGATATTAATGAATAATTTAATTTAATTGAATTTCTTAAACTTCTGAAGTATTCTTCAGGTAATCTCTATTACTTTGAAATCAGAAAAATCTAAAATTTTGAGAAAATACTTGGACAGTAAAATGCCTTTATTTCTTGGAATTGCTTATTCCACTTATTTTTAACTGTCCATTTTTAATACAGTGTATCTTTTGCTTCACCTTATATAGTAAAAGGTATTTAATATCCAAGAAGCTTCTAAATATTTCCATATTGACAGAAGATATAATTGCTGCTCGTGCATGTTTACTAAAAAGATAGACAGTAACTTAAAAAGCATAACTAGGCTCGTCTTTTCATGCTTCATTCCATAGGAACCTGCTGGATGGCAGGGGGCAGAGGGAAAATCAAATCTCCTTATAAGGGAGGATGCAAGGCAGTGTCAGGGACAGAGTAGAGCTGATGTAGGAAAGAGAGGAAGCCAGAACAGGCTTGCCAGCTGAGGGCAATGGCAGGGGGAGGGGGCAACTGGGATGACTCCAGAAATAAACTGAAAGCTGTGCCCATGCATCGTTCATTACACTCAAGAAACAGCACTTTCCTCTTCCTCTGCTTGCCAGGAGTTTGGATTTATCTTGTTGTACTTTGTATTTTTCAACCCACAGTATTTATTGATAGCCGTTTTGTGCAGAGGACTGTACCAACTGTTATGACAGATTTAAAGATGAGTATGATGAGAACCCCAAGCCCTCAGATACTTATAATTTAGTCAGGTTGAATAACAAAGCCTCAAACAATAATAGAGATCATATTAAATAGGCTACACATTTCTTTCTTCTCTTTAATTCTCCCTCAGTGCCTACCAGAACGGTATTTAAATGTTAAATTCCAGTGTCTTAAGATACCATCTTAATTATTAACTGCGCCAAAAACATTCAGTAGTTTCTATGATTTTTAATTTTATTATATCTAGCATTTTTCTGACATGAAGAATATTTGCCTTAATAATTGCCTTCTATAATTCAAGATTATATAATTTCACTATTCATTTCATTAATACAAACTTTCCCAATAGTTATGTGCTTCAACATATGTCAAGGTATAAAATACCTCTAGCAATGTTAAACCCAAACCCAACAACATCAAATAAGAAACTTGTCTTACATCCCTTTTACTTGGTTCTTACACCAAAGTTGAATGATATATGTAAATGGACACCACTCCCCACCCAAACACACATTCAATATCATTTTTCTAAGTATAAAAAATATATATACAATACATATACACCTCCTTTTTTTTTATACAAAACAGACATTAGTTATTCATTTAATCAATGAATTCATTTGGATCTTTAAATACATGGGCTTCAAATTCCATTTGGCTCTGTAAAATAAAAGTGCTAAAATTAGTACAGACTTACAAAAAAGGAAGAACAAAACAAGATATTTCATATGTCTCCTTTGAAGAGACACGAGATAACAACAATAAGAACTTGTGATGGTCATGCATTTTCTGTTCACTTACAGATGGTGACAGAACAGACTATATTCCAAGTATAATATTTAGTGTGGGGCTAGAAAAAGTTTTAGTAGTGAGGGAAGAGGCTGAAGATGTAGGGTAAAAATAAAGCATAATGATGAAGTAGTTCTTGAGAAGATGTAAGGGGCTAGATAGAAACAAAACTTTCCATCAGGCACTTCTGAGATCTATCCTTTCAGCCATCCATCCATTCATCCATTCACTGCACATGGTACCTACCATGTGCTATGCACAGTATATGGGGAAATATGGTAGAAACAAGGCCAAGTTCCCATCCTCAGGGAGCTTATATCTATATGGTGACACACACAATAAGTATTTGAGTAGATATAGTCTATGTAATCATAAAAAAAACTATTAAGAAAAAACAAGTAAGATTACAGGATAAAGGAAAGGGGGAGTAGTTAAGAAGGTCAATGGTATTTGAGCATAATGAGGAAATAGCACTTAAATAGAGACTGAATGAGATCACAGTCTGAGGCATGTGAAGGTCTGTGGAAAGGATGTGTTAGACAGAAACTATAGTAACTGGAAAAGGAACTAGGGAGGAACAGTGAGGTAGCTGGGAGAGATCCAGGGGTAAGAAAGATTGAGGGAGAATGAGAGAGGTGGTTGGAGAGAGAGAGAAAGGGGCAACTGTATAAGACTCCAGAATCCACTGAGGGATTTTGAGCAAGAGAGCAGCATGATAGTATTTGTGTTTTTAAGTATACAGGATATTGTGAAGAATAGTCAGTACAGGGACAACAGTGGAAGCAAGAAGGCTAATGATCTAGGGGCGGATGCTGGCAACTTGATTTAGGTTTGTGGTCAATAGACCTGTGGTAAAAATGTTATATTCAAGGATACATTTTGAAGGAACAACTAAAGGTGCTATTGGAGAAAAATTAAGGATGTCTCCTAGGTTTTTGATTGATCAACTGAATGTATGGGGTGTCATTTATTGAGACAGAGAAGATGGGGAGGGGACAATTTGTGGGAAAACTAAGAATTTATTGAGATTATCTATTAGACATGTTGAGTAGGCAGCTGGAGCTAATAGACTAGAGACTGGGGGAAGGTATATTGTAATATTTATATACCAAATCATTCCACCTGCTTAAAAATTTCCAATGAATTCTCATGCACTCAAGGCAAAATCCAAACTCCACGCTCCCTTGTGATTGGCCCTTCTATGCATCTCCAGCATCATCACTCATCACCAGTTTCATACCACACCAAATACTCTTTGAATAGAGATTCATTTCTCACTCTTGCGAGCAGCATGCCTTTCCTTTGCTTAGATTATTTATTATCCGTCCCCATTTTGACCTAGCTGACTATTGTGTCCTTGAAACCTAGCCTTTCTTGTCTCACCAGCCATTTACCAGTCATTTGATACATCTGGTTTTGATGTGCTCTTCATGCCCACCACAATATTCTATGTAGAAACAATTATTGAAGCTTAATGTAGACCAGAAGCACATATGAAAGGCTTAATCAAAGTGCTCAAGGGTTAATCTTCTTAAGGAATGTCAACAAGAAAATAATTACTCAACATTGTGATAAGAATTATTATGGACTCTAGAGCCAAGATACTCCATAATTATTGCTTGAACTTGGACAAGTAGGCTAAACTCTTCAAGCCTCAGTTTTCTTATCTGTAAAATGAGAATAATAATACTAACTACTTCATAGGGTTGATAAGGGAATTAAATGAGCTGATGTGGGCCACAGTGCTTATAATAGTGGCTGGCATAGATGAGACCTGTATAAATCATTAACTATTATTATAATAATACTTACCACACTGTTGAGTAATTATTTTCTTGTTGAAGTTCCCCTTAAAAATATTAACCCTTGAGCACTTGGATTAAGCCTTTCCTATGTGCTTCTGGTCCACATTAAGCTTCGATAATTGTTTCTACATAAATGAATGAGTTAATGAGTAAACAAACAATAGCACTGGGCCACAACAGCACTATAAAATGACCCATCAGGTTCTTCTTCAGTGGGCTTTCTCTATTTAAAAGCTATTCCCTGTGGGTGAAGGTTATTTGTTTGATCCATCACTCACCAAACCAAGAAGAAGACTTGGGTTGTTGATCCTACATTATATTTTGGTCACTGATAAGTAAAAAACAATATATTTCTTCCTTTTTAAAGTATCTACCCTAAGATGTGTTTTATTGATTTTATAGAAAGAAAGGGAGAGAGAGAGAGGGAGAGAGGGAGAGAGAGAGAGAGAGAGAGAGAGAGAGAGAGAGAGAGAGAGAGAGAGAGAGAAGAGAAACATTGGTTGGTTGCTTCCTTCACATGCTCCAACCAAGGGTGGGACCATAATCCAGGTATGTGTCTTGACTGGGAATCAAACCTGCAGACTTTTAGTGCACTGAATGGTGCTCCAACCCCCTGGCCAGTGTAGCAATAGCTTCTTTTACCTTTGGATCAGGTAGACATGGTCCAAAAGCTTCCAGTAGAAGAGTTTCTTCTCTCACAGCTTGTTCATAGTCTGAAAAGGACAGTTTTCCATCATGATCATTATCCTAGGAGTGACCAGCCATATATTAGTCAACATGTAAAATACTTAATGCAAATACAACTGTCCTTTCATGGTCAAGTGTTAAGGGAAAAAAGATACTAGAAAAATGAGACTAATTAAATTGTAATGAACTATCAATATTATTTTTTTTTAAAAAGCACAATTCAAGTGTTTGATTTCACCAAGCAGAAAACTGATAGTTACTATCATTTGAATTATTATTTTTATCCCACTACTAGCCTTTACATTTTAATATAAAACTCTAAATTATACATATTTACCATTTTCTTAAGTGTTATTTCAACCAAATCTTTGATTCCTTCATCAGGGTCTTCTTCAGATGGCTGTTTAAGAAGGCTGTTCTTCAGCATGTGGAACATTTCCTCCTTTGAAATGAATCCATCGCCATTCAAATCAAACACTTCAAAGCAATCTTTTAAAAAATAGCCAATTAGGAATTTGATATTATCCTTAAGGTAACATTTGCTCTGATAAAGTTTTCAAGACCAAGTTCTATATTGATGTTCTTATCAATGCCATGGGCCTTAACACAATCTAATTTCCATAATAAATGCTTAATGTTCACTTGTTGAATATATGCATCAGTCCTTAGAAAAATTTTCATTACAATCAGCTATGGAAAAGCATGACAAGAAACAATATGTTGGCATAATACTCTCTAGGTATTATGCTGAGTGAAATAAGCCAGTCAGAAAAAGACAAGTATCACATGATCTCATTTATATGTAGAATCTAATGAACAAAATGAATTGATGAACAAAATAGATCCAGAGACATAGAAGCATGTAACAGACTGAGGATCCTCAGAGGGAAATGGGAAGAGGGGGCAGGGGATAAGTGATTAACCAAAGAACTTATATACATATTATGGGTATGTGTATAATGCATGGTCACAGGCATGATTTGGTGAATGCCTGGGAGGGGGGGATTGAATTATGGAGGGGGTCAAAACAAGGGACATCTGTAATACTTTTAACAATAATATAAATTTTAAAAAAAGAAAATTAAGATAAAAAAGAAGCAATAAGCCGAAGCCGGTTTGGCTCAGTGGTAGAGCATCGGTCTGCGGACTGAAAGGTCCCACGTTCGATTCCGGTCAAGGGCATGTACACTGGTTGCGGGCACATCCCTGGTAGGGGGTGTGCAGGAGGCAGCTGGTCGATGTTTCTCTCTCATCGACGTTTCTAGCTCTCTATCTCTCTCCCTTCCTCTCTGTAAAAAATCAATAAAATATATTTTTTAAAAAAGAAGCAATAAGTTGAAATTTTTCATCTTGAAACTCTTGGAAAACTGATTGACATTAATTCTTTTATTTTTATTTAAAGTTTTTAATGTTGACATAATTCTTAAACAGAGTTCATCAAAATTAAGAATTTACTAAGAATCAGAGCACTAGAATCAATATCCCCTACTTTTATGGTTATAATTCAAGTACTTAAATATGCAAAAACATAATCTTAAGACCTATAATGTAAATGTATACCTGCATGATTAGCTTCTGTAACATGTGCCTATATAGACTTACTTGACATGAATTACTCTTCAAAAATCTTGATTTTCCTTTTAATTACTTTTTTTTCAACATTTGTTCCATAAAAGAGGCTAATGGGAATTCAGACCAACAACCAACCGACTTCATTGGTTGGATTAGAAGAAATAAATTTAAAATGTTTTAGATATGTTAGTCATAATGTGCAAACCAGTAGGATAACCTGAAATCTTACATTTCATTTTTTCTTCCAAAGTTCCTCGAAGAAACAGTGATAATCCGTATACCCACTCTGATACACTTACATTACCATCATTGTCTTTATCAAAACCTCGGAATACTAAAAAGAAAAAGAAGGGCAATATAATATTTGTGCTGCATTTTTAATCTCAGTAATGTATCTACGTTGGTACTACATTAAACAAAACTTCAGGATTATATGGTTCAACATTCCCATTTGACAAAGGAAGAAATAACTTTCACATTTTCTCCTCATATTTTGAGGGAACAAAGCAAATTCTGAATATCTAAATATGCTAACTAATTAACATGCAGCTGTGTTGGTATATTAAATATGTTGCTGTATTAACATAAAATATATAATTTTGAACTTTAGTTACTCAACAAATTTAATGCTTTATTACATGGTAAACCAGACTATATCTTAATTCTTATTGAAATACGTTCAATGATGTAAATAAACTTAAATGTCCTTTTAAAACTAGTCTTCTTATATTTACTAAGTAAAAATAGAAATATTTTAGGTTTCCTGTTATAAGGTAAGGAAAACCTAATTATTCAGGCTGACTTTGTCCACTTCTTAAATACACAAACTAGAATGGATACTATTTCCATTCCTATGATACTTAAATTTTTTTAAAATTTATTGGTATTACCTTGTTTAACACAATTATATGGGTGCAAGGTATATAATTCTGTAATACATTATCTATATTGTGTGTTCACACCCCCAGTCATGTCTTTTTTCTTCACCATTTATCCCCCCTTTTCCATCTCCTTGCTCCCTCACTATCATTTGCCTCTCCTATGATCTTTTTCGTGAATATGAAGATTTAAATGTTATATTCGAGTTAAATTGGGAATATAGAACATTAAGCTTCTTATAAACAGTAAGTACAACTCCATACTTTTTTCAGTTATGGCTGGATTTGTATTTCTCCTTACCTCTGTCCATAATCATGTCATCTGTCATCCCAAATGTCACATGCAAGATGTTTCGAAATGCATTACGATCCAGTCCATTGACTGTGCCTTGTCGCTCTGTTATATCTCCCACCAAGTTATAGTAAAGTCTTATAAGACAATTCACTTCAAATTTATTAACTGTGGGAAAATAAAGTTAATATATAACAAAAATGTGTTTTAATCTTTAATTTCTAACTTAAACTTTGCATTAATTAATTTATCGACTAACATTTTAAAGCCATCAAATATGTAGTTGTCAATAATCCTGTAATGTTTTTTAATCCTTGTCTGAAGTTATGTTTTTATTAATTTGAGAGAGAGAGAGAGAGAGAGAGAGAGAGAGAGAGAGAGAGATTGATTGCATCCCCTACACATCCTGGACCTGGAATCAACCCTGCCAGGGCAGAAGACAGTTCTGTTTTGAGATTCATGATCCTTAAGTCAATAGAAGATGGTTACTACAGAGGATTTTCCACTAAAAGGAGAGAAAAAGCCTTCCCTCCAATATTAAATAGATGCAAGTTTAGTCACACTTAGGAAAAAAGAAAATAATATCAGTCAAGTTACCCGAATAATGATCGTGAGGTCCAATCCTAAACTTTAAAAGGCAGCAGAGATATGATTCAAAGTAAGTATGGTAATGTTTAATTATGCTAACTTTCCTCGCATTTTGATTATAGGCACTCATGAAACTTGTAATTAAGCATTCCCCTGGAAATAGATACTAGGCTCCTGAAAGTCAGGAAACAATTTTTATTTTATATTAGCCTTAGTAATTGAGATTTTGGAAATAAAAATCACCCATTTTCCAATAGAAAAATGTTTAAGCATATTTTATCATTTTTGTAGCTCTTATTGCAGATGATATGAAGTTAACATGCAATTATTCAGCAGTACTTTGAATGCAGGCAATTTTTATTGAAAGGATACGCACACACATTTATATTTGTCAACACACATCATTGTATAAAGGGTGGTGTTTTTAAAGACTCAGATAATTATCTGTGTTCCAATCCCCATATCAGATATGTTAAGTGGAAGGGATATTGTCAAGCATTAAGAACAAAAAAGTGAGTTTAAATATGAATTATAGGCAGAAGATGGGGTGAGTTTATTTCAAAACAAGACAGAGTATTTTAAAAAAACAACAACACAAGGACAAAACCTGTGTGCATGTAAAAGAAGACAGAACATAGAAATGGATAAATCACATCTAATCTCACAGTTGAGGACAGGCCTGCATGTGATTTCTGGTTTGGGATACCAAAATGTAAGAGGGGTATTAAAATTTTTTTAAATAAATTATTTAGTAAATAAATTAAATAATGGACAAGTGTATAATGCTTATAATTTTTAAAAGAGGTGTTAGTTGCAGTAGTGGTATACCAGTTTGTCAAAAAATTAAACACAGAAATTCTGTATAATTCAGTGATTCCACTTCTGGGTATATACCCAGAAAACTGAAAAAAGGGGCTCAAATACTTGTACACCAAGCATGTCAAACTCAAAGGCTCACACGGGCCAAATAAACAAGGTTTAAGCTTATGTGGGCTGCAAAAAAACAAAAGCTTCAATTTTCACAGAAACATAGGTTTATTTCTATAGAGACATGCTGAAATAAATAATCATTAACATAAAATAATGGAATATTTTAATAAAAAATAATATTTTTTCTTGAACATTAACTTACCAGACACTGAATAACTGCACAAATTATTAAGCGTAATGCATATAAACCTATTTTTCTTGTTCTCCAAAGCGAAATATTTCCTGTTGCGCACACCAAACAAGTTAGTCCAAGGCTAATGACGTGGCAATCGGCTGCTAAAATATTCACTGCTGGTATTAGTGGAGAGAAATGGTGCACCTGTGTTTCAGGTGCGTAAGGGAAATGAATGCAACACAGTTACAGTAATCAGTCATTAGCGGATGTTGTAGTTCATTATTATAATTAGGTACAACAGGATATTGTAAAAATTAAGTTAAGAAATTTTTATTAAAACATTTCTTACATTTTGTTATATTGGTTGGGCCGCAATAAATATTTGTTGTGGGCACATGTGGCCCATGGGCTGCAAGTTTGACATGATTATTGTACCTCAATGCTCATAGCAACATTATTCACAGTAGCCAAAAGTGGAAGCAATCAAGTGTCCATTGGTGAATGAATGGTTAAACAAAATATAGTACCATGTTTCCTCGAAAATAAGACATCCTCCAAAAATAAGACCTACTTACAGGTTTCCTTCTGAGTGAAATATCAATGTAAGGCATCCCCTGAAAAAAAGGCCCCCTAGGCTAAACATGAGAGATTTGGTCCACTGATTCTGAAAGAAATGGAGTCACAAGAAATTCACCAGGAAATTCAGAATTTGGATTGTTATGATGATGTTCCAGAAGATGATGACATGATTGTCATTGAATAAATGAGTAAATTCTTGATACTGTAGGATTCACAGTTTGTCTGGTTTGTGTTGACAACTACCGTACTACTGTAGCATATACAGGTAATAAATTTCCTTTGTTTTCATTTAACAATAAATGTGTACCGTATTCTTCTTCATGGAAAAATAAGACATCCCCTGAAAATAAGACCTAGAACATTTTTGGGAGCAAAAATTAACATAGCAAAAATTTATGTTTTAACAGAAAACACTGTCTTATTTTCAGGGAAACAGGATAAATGCATACTAGGGATGATTATTTGGTTTTATAAAGGAAGGAGATTTTGGCACATGCTATCGCACGAATGAAACTTGAAAAAATTATGATGAGTGAAATAAGCCAAACAAAAGAGAACAAATACTCTATGATTCACTTATATGATATACCTGGAGTGGTGAAATAAATAGAGACAGAAAGTAGAATGGTAGTTGCCAGGGGTTTTGGGAAGGGGAAAATGGGGAGTTATACTATAATGGATATAGAGTTTCAGTTGGGAAAGATGAAAATGTTCTGGAGATTAATGGTGGTAACAGTTGTGCAACAATTTAAATAAACTTAATACACAGAGCTTATAATTAAAATGCTTAAAATAGTAAAATTTAAACGCAGTTTAAAAAAAATTTTAAGGAAAAAGGCTGTTGGCTAGTTGGGAAAGAAAAGACTGCATAATGAATGACTACACAACATCTCATATGCTAAGCATTTTATGTTTCATCTTTTCCATCTCTGCTAAAATGAAGTTTATAGAATAATTAGCTTAATTTATTACCCAAGGATCCAAGATTAGCCATAAGAAAACTTTCCTTACTGAAATGTTCCTTAAGTTCTAGAATACAATACTAAATACAATTAAGAAAAATTCAAGGATGGGCTTTCATTTTTTTGGATTGGTTTGATTTTTCTTCAGCTCATATCTGTAGAATTGCAGATTAACTATATGACCACTGAAGATACTTTCTTCTTCTCTGATTCCACAAAATTTATCCATTTAATCCTAGTGGGATTATCATCTGCCAACTGAAAGGAAATATAACTTTAGGAAAGGTCCTCTGTTTAAAGGAATTTAAAATTATTATAATGTCAATGACCTGAAACTCTTTCTATAGAATTTAACTAATAATTATCAAGGTTTTCCAGGCTCACTTTAAAATGTTTATGTAAGTATAAAAAGCAAAAGAGTTTCTCTTGCCATGTGTTCCTTTATATTTTTTTAATTTTAAAAAAATATATTTTATTGATTTTGTACAGAGAGGAAGGGAGAGAGATAGAGAGTTAGAAACATCAATGAGAGAGAGTCATCGATCAGCCGGAATCGAACCCGGGACCTTTCAGTCCCCAAGCTGACGCTCTATCCATTGAGCCAAACTGGTTTTGGCAATGTACTCCTTTATATTTTAATACTCACCTCTTAATTATTCACAGAAAGTCTATTTGCAAATTTACTGAGCACCGAGTACATTAAAATCAGCATTGTATATTGAAATTATTGCATTTCTTATTCAAAGTGTTTACCAAATGTTTTAGAAGGCGTGGTCTTCTCCCAGAAGTGGAAGTATTTTAAGAAAAACAACAGCAGATTATAACAACCATAATAATGCCTTAAATGAGAGGATGGCTATTTTTCTAAGAAGTTTAAGATGCTTATACACACTCTAATTTTCATTTATAGCACCACTCCACTCAGAGAGCCTCTCTTACTACTCATTGCATGAGATACACATGCAATTAACAGACATGAGATCCTGTAATCTCTCCTAGCAGAACTACATGTTTGTTTCTCCTCCGCCCAGGGGGGGTGGGGGGGGTCTTGGGATGATATCTTCTTCTATTTCCTCAGGTGGCCAGTAGTTTTGCAATCAACATATAATTCATATGCTTGCTCATTTGACAACATTGTCTTCACCCAACCCATGTCTTTATTCTCTTCCTGGCCCAGGTACAGTTCTGTTTTCCAGTCTGAATACAATTCTAAAGTTACGTATGAGATTCTAGGACCACCTTCTAGAATGTGCAATTGGGAGCAGATACCTTTCATAAGTGCCCATCTTGTCACCTACAAAGTACCCTGCAACCCTCACCATCCACTGGAACGTGGAAGTCTAGAGCTGGGAACAGATTCTTTGCCATGTGTTTAGCTTTGGTGAGCTCCTTGGGCCCACGTTCCTTCTGGCTCTGCCATGGGTTTGTTTCCTAACGGTGTTCAGTGGTTGGGAACCATTTCTCCTTGTGGATCTCTCAGTAAGAATCTAGAATCGAACCCTGTCATTTCATTTGCTCTAGAAAGCTAGAATGCAGGTGTATGTTGCTTGTGATACTCTTCTCAACTCCCTTGGTTTTCATACTTACTTTGCACCTATGACTGAGTGTAAAACCACATGTGTCTCCTGAGTATATAGATCCCTTTTCTGTAACGTAAAGTTAAATTAAGAAGAGCTCTTGAGAAGCATATTAGTGTACTTGTGGGAGTGCAAGCCTAGATGTCTGGACACCTGGATAGTGATCCTAAGACGATCGGCAGGCATGGAAGCCTGCTCCAAAAAGCTAACATCCAAGTATTCTCTTCCAGACTTTTCTTTTGGTGTGGTGGAGGGGGCTCCAAAGCCCTAAGGCATGGAGTTAGAACGCAGGTTGGGCAGAAAACGTTGGCTCCGGGTAGGGCAAGAGACCAGGACCAGGAGTCTCTGCTAACCCAGCACTCGATCCTTACTTACAGTGCTTGCAATTTTTCGTTAAGGTGTCCGTCAACTTCTGCAACTTCTTGCGGTTCATGCCGCGGGCTCAGGAAACCGGGCAGAGGTGGGTGCGCGGGGATGCGGCTGCTGGGAACCTCGCAGGGCCTTGGTCTGAGCCGGGGGAAAGCGACCTGGGTCTCCATCGCCCCGCACTTGCTGTGCCCTAACACACAAGGTAGCCGTGGCAACGCCCTGGCCGGCCGCTGATTGGTTCCCTGGCAAATGGCCTGCATACACCGTGCTAACACACAACGTGGCCATGGCAACGGCTGGGCCCGCTGCTGACTTGCTCCTGGGCTGGGGCTGGGGCGGGGCTGGGGCTGGGGCTGGGTGCGTAGTCCCCCCTTGGAGGGTCCCTGCCGGACCCACTGCGGGCTGTGTTCTATTGATGTCGGAATTCTAATGTTTCAGTTGTTGCTGTCCTTTGGGCTCACTGCATCTTGGATGGACTGCACTGGGATTCATGGAGGTCTGAAATAGGAAGGAGGAAGAATGTAAAGAGGACATCTGAAGGGTGTTTGGGGTGGTGAGTGTTGTACCAAGGGAAGCTTAAAATCTACAGGGAGATCTGGGGTTTGGGGAGCTTGGAGGAGCTTCCAGAATTAGCAGGTGTGTAATCCAGAAGATTGTTTTATGGGGTACAGAAAGGTGGGAAGAAGTTGGAATAGGTTTTTTTTTTCCTTACTCCCCTCCCCCCCCCCCCCCCCCCCACACACACACACATGCACACTTATTCTTGGGCGTGAGGGGTGAGGCTGTCAGTAGAATCTGGGAAAAGCCAACTGGTAATTTTTAAGCTAGTTAAAGGGGCAGCTTTTCTAATAAACAGACTGACAACTGCCACTTATCTGTGGGGTTGGGCCCAATCTTGCTTTTCTGGCAAATATTCCTTTAAGTAAAACGAAAGGAATTTTTTTTTCTTTTTTTTTCTTTTTTTTACTTTTTTGAAAGTCTACAAACAGAGAATAGTTCTTCCAATCTTCAATGTGGGAAGACTTTCTTAGCTACAGATGGAACACTATCTCTGAATTAGGTCAACAATAAAATGGGCAAGGTCAGCCAGGAGTACAAACCTACAGTATTGTTTAAAGTATCTACTTGCTTAACTTTAGAGGGGAAATTCCTTGGACTACAACTTATTTTATAGTATACATACTGTCATTCTTAGGCTGAAACCAGAAAATTTCTGCCAACCCTGAGTAACAATCTGATATAAAATAGTTTCGCCTGGCTGGTGTGGCTCAGTGGCTGAACATCGACCCATAAACCAGGAGGTCACAGTTAATGTGAATCTTCCAGGTCAGACACATGCCTGGATTGTGGGCTAAATCCTCTCTAGGGGACATGCAGTAGGCACCCAATGGATGTTACTCTCTCATCAATGTTTCTATCATTTTATCCCTCTCTTCCTCTCTCTCTAAAAAAAAAAATCAATTAAAAAAGTTACAGTATTGAGGTCTCTGATTTTTTTTTTTTTTTATTTGTTGAATAAAAAATTGGGATGCTGATTGACACCAGAATCAATGATGCGCAGTGAAGGCAGGGGCTGTATTATCCTAAAGGAAATTTGCTGAGAACAGTTAACCAATATATTGTATAATGATAGTGACTATGAGTTTTCAACAATTTTCTGGTTAAATAATATTTCTATAATATGTCTTCTTACCTAGCAGCTGTGACATTTCTAATGAGATTCTAGACACCAACTGGGGAGGACTGGACAAACTCTAATTACACTCACCTGTGAAACCATAGTGGCCTTTGTTAGATTATAAAATTGTAGGAAATATTTAATTCATGGAGGTTATTGTAGGGCTCATTCTAAAAGACATGGAGCCAGAAAAGTGGTTCTCAGTAGTTACAATAAGAGAAGCTGTAGGCCCCATATGTTTCTGCTTGTGGGTCTAGTAGGAACCTCCTTCTACTAGGTTTTCTGAAGGGACCCCTGCTGTCACTTCTTGGGAGCAGGACTCCTCTGGCGGGGTCACACTGATGGGCCTCTTCAGGTGTCTCTGCAGATACACTTGGAGCTTGTTGGAGAACACATATGGATGAACTAGAGAGTTCTTAATTCACAAGCTTCAGGCCTAGGACCCATCAACCATGTTCCCTTGAGGTGGAAAAAATGAAGTAAGGACAAAACCACAGAAAGTTGAAAATAAGAATCAAATATACCCTGGCTGGGGTAGCTCAGTTGGTTGAGCACTCTCCATGCACCAAAAGGCTGCCAGTTCCATTCCCAGTCAGGTTCAATTCCACAAACACACATTACAGTTCCATCCCCCATCAGATGTGTATGGGAGGCAACTGATTGATGTTTCCCTCTCACATCCACATCAGTGTTTCCCTCTCTCCCTCTCCCTTTCTCTGTCTCTAAATCAGTAAAAATGTGTATTTTGAAAAATAATCAAATCTGCTCTACCAAGCAAAATTACTTAACCCGCTAATAAAACTTTTGAGGTGTCCTCCTTACATTCTTCCTCCTTCCCATATTCTTTCTTCCATACTATTCTTTTAGCAGGAAATTTCCAAATGCATTGTTATATAAAACTCACCTCTCTGAGAGAGTGGCCTACAGAATTAAATTTCCTATAAGGTCTTGAAAACCCTTAGGGAAAACAAGATATTAATGAAGGGCATGTTTTGTCAACATATCCTTAAACTTTAGAACTTTCCTTACATTTTTGTGAAGTTTTTGCACTTAGTATTTGCAGACTTTAGAAACCAGAGGTAGGCCTGATAGACTCAACTAATTGCATTTCAAAGCAAATTGAAATTTCTGTTCTTGTGTTGGCCAGAAATAGGATTGCTTTCCCCTCGGGGTTTTTTTTCTTATCTTTTCTTTTCTTTTCTTTTCTTTCCTTTTCTTTTCTTTTCCTTTTCTTTTTTTTTTCTTCAGAGTAAGGCAATTAAACAAGAACAGTTATCTCATATCAAATCAATTATCAATGGAATAATAAAAAACTGTTTAATTTGTACTGTACACAAATTTTACTGTGCATGAAATGATCATAGAACTTTCCGAAATTCCAGCGACTTAGAGATGGATACTATTGTAAATAAAAAGTACATAAACGTGACCTTAATGCTATAAATATTTCTAATTTTGTGTGCAAAATAGTCTTCCCTTTGACTCACAATTAGTTGGAGTTTTGCCATGATAAATAATTTGGACCTTGAATTGATGAAAGTGTTTTATTTAATGTGAACTCTTTATGATAAAGGCATTTGGAAACTGTTTAGGAAATGACATCATAGAATTAACTTCCAAGTATATGACAAACCTATTATGAAATTACTCGAATAAAAGAAAAATATAAAGGTTAGCTATCTATGCAATTTCAATTTAATTTTACCAATTTTGTTTTGGAGAAATAGTGAAGTTACGAGGTGATGTTAGCCAATTATCTGGTGGTTGAATCTCCTTTGCTCTCTCTTACCATTTTCCCTTCTGGCTGCTCTGCTGAAGTGACGATCTGCTTTCAGTACCTTCAACCACCCAGCTGTCTCCCCGCAGGCCGTCTGCATAGTCTTTTCCCATCCGCAGAGGAAACTCTTCAGAGGCTTTTTGACTCCTCATATGAAGTGAATTCCTCCATACCCTGTGGTCTTTTCCCTGCCTCTGGGCCAGTTTCTTTCTAGAGCTTGCCACAATGACTGATAGCTGTCTTTCTCTAATCTCTCCTCCCCACTAGATTGTCAACTACATGATGCCCCTCTTCTGTGCTCTCACTCTCACTCACATTCTGTCTTTTCCTGTGTTTATGTCTATGTGTATCTCCGCATCACCTATCTTTCTATACCTCTCAAGTTTGACAACAAAGTCCACTTTCAATTGTCTGTATTAAAGGAGAGTGATGGGAGAAATCACCTGAGCAGAGATGACCCTTCCCCCATCCCACACAGCACCCCTTCATGGAGAGCCCTGTGAATACATACCAGGGCCTTTAAAGGGGCTAAGTACTAAAGAAAAACTTTTCCCAAAATATGCTCTCAAAAATGTATTAATACTGGTGTTAACACATTTCTGCATAAGTTTTTTAAAACCATAATCAAGAGGTAAGGTAAGTGCCTAAGGCTTACTAAGGATAGGATTCTTAAATCTTTTTTGTGTTGTTTTTTTTTTAAACCTCACTGGAGGATTTTTTTTTTTTTCCATTGATTTTCAGACAGAGTAGAAGGGAGAGAGGAAGGAGAGAGGGAAAAAAACAAAACATTGATCTGAGAGAGACACATTGATTGGTTGCTTCCAGCAATTGCCACATAGGGCTGGGGATCAAACCTGAAACCAAAGTACATGCCCTTGTCCTGGAATCGAGCCCTAGACCTTTTGGTCCATGGGCTGATGCAGTAACTACTAAGCCACATGTGTCAAACACAAGGCCCGCGGGCCAAATCTGTCCCGCCAGGCCTTGCAATGTGGCCCGCACCGCGCTGTCATCACTGCACTCCGCTGCGTTTCCATCACAATGACAGTTTATGACTGTTCAGTAAACCATTCGGCCCGCGATTTAGGCTGGATTTTAGATTTTGGCCCCTTCTCTGATTGAGTTCGACACCCCTATACTAAGCAAAACTGGCCAGGGAAAGATTCTTATATCTTACAGGTGGGCTATGAAGTGTGCAAATTAAGATGTGGATATGAAAAGTAATTAATGTGATGGCAATTATGTCAACGGGTTGAGTAAGGAAGCTGCTCCTCCAGGCCTTAAGGAGATGACGCAGAAATCCTGTGGAACCCTCTGGCTCCTTACATTGAGGGCTGGGCCATGGGCACCCAGCTGCCCTATCTAATCTCTACCACAGGGCCAGTAAATGCCTACCTCTTTCCAGGGAAGCCCAGAGCTCCTGGTGGGTTCTGACACTACTCATGGCCCTCTGCAGCTGTCACAAACCTCCTACACAGAACCAGGCCAGGCTGATCCTCTCAGACCATGCCTGACACTGCCTAGACCTCTGAAACAATGCCAGCCAGAAAAGGACATGGACCCCCCAAATACTTGAGACCAGGCCCTTGTAACCACATTCTTAGCCTCCATTATTCTTGACTTCCAGACAAAAGGAAGCTCTCATAATTACTTTTCTCCAATGATCTTACCCGATTAGGAGACTTACTTCTTAGCCCATATCTGTCTAATCCCTTTCAACTGTACCA